AAGGTGGGAGTCACAGGCCTGCAGTGAAGCAGAGAGATCTGTCGTTTGGTACAAGAGCTATGGCTGTGTGAGGCAGGGGACAGACGTCAGAGCTAGATAGCTGCTTCTCCTGCTCTGGTGCAGAGAGTAGAGCTTCCATGTTAATGTGCACACTTAGGGCAACCACAAAACTAGGAGAAGGCTGGGTAGCGTACTAGTGGAAAGCTGGGCTGGACAACGTGTGCCAGGAACCTGCATCGCTTCTGGGACCATGCTAATCCTGGACAACAGGTCCGAGAGTTGAGCTCATAGCTGTTGAGTCTCCACAAACACAAGAGGCCAAGACATCCACTCTGTCTCCAAACACCAATCGTTCCAACTCCATCCTTGTTTCTTGTTCCTCTCTCCTTCCATCTCTACTCTCCCTCTAGTGGGCTCTGGATTTGTCCTCTACTCCCCTTTCTCTCACTCCCTTCAATCTAGTGCAGAGAGGTGGCGAAAAGTTCACTTCCACCTTTGCCCCCCTTCTCTCTCCTTTTCCTTTCTCCAGTGCTGGAAATTGAGCACAGAACCACCAAGCCAAAGCGCCAGAAAGTAGGCACCAAAGCTAAGCATTGAAAATGGGAAGGAGGGGATGTCTCCAATGCAGATTTATCCCAGGTTCTTATCCACATGTTGCCCCTAATCCCCGCCCTATCCACACACAAAACCCTCTCACCTAAGTTTAGTGATGCTTCCAACCCAGGCTAGCTGGTGCATCCAGAGTCAGAGGTAGCACCTGGGGGCTTTCACGGAGGCTGTAACCCACTCACTTTTCAATGAAGACACAGGCTAAACGACTCAAGTGCTGAAAGGCCTCCAAGTGCCTTCACACAATTCCTCCCATGTGCCCAGAAGGAGAGGCAAGTTTTCCCACAATTCACTGGGAAAGACTCCTAGAGTGGCTCAGCTCACTGCAGCACAAAGACCCATGGGCTGTGACCCCAGAAGTCCTAGAGACACACAGCAGGTGTAGCACTTGAGGATACAGTAACTTGGGTAGGGCTTTGCAATCTGGCTGCTCACACCTGGGCGAGGCTAACCCAGGTGGGCTCAGACGTGGGTGCTGATCACCCAGGTTAACAGCAGTGAAGACATACATATGGGCCTAAGGTGCATCAAAATCAGGAGACCAGTAAAAACCAAGTTCTGAAGCATCAACGTGCTGGAAAACATCCACTGAAACGCCAAGGCACACTGCAAAGAGCTGCAAAATAGGGCTCAGAGCATCGTTGTTTGCTGAAGTGCCAACTTGAGCACGACTGCGAAAGCAAAGTGCTAAGGAAGGTCATAACCTCGGCCTGAGAGGAAAACAAGGACTCAGCGGAGGTTGCCCAACAATGCGGTGGAGTAGTCCAGGGACAAGAAGTGGAGTGGTGGCTACAGAGCTGTAGCTCCTGCAAAGATTCCGTCTCTACTCACAAGAAGAAACGGACTGGGCAGCTCTGAGGGCAACAGGGTGGCGTAACCCGCTCATGGGGGACTGCTTCACACTCCATTGCACTACTACCTCACAGACCTGGCTTACCTTCTGGAACAGAGGCCAGTGGATGGCATATTTAGAGCAGTATTATTATCCCCATTTCATAGCTGGAGAAACTGAGTTTTGCCAGTGATTTCACTAGGAGCAGCACCAGGCCTGTAGGCATTAGGTACATAGATGCTTTTGAAAATCTTACTTGGTCCCTATCTGCATCTTTAAGTGCCTAAATACCATTACAAACCTGGCCCGAAGACTTGCCCAAGGCCGTGGAGAGGCTCAGCACTGGGATTAGAACCCAGGTTCCTGGCTCCCAGTTTTGTGCTTAGACCATTAGATTACACCTTTGACTCAGGGGTGCCATTTCAGATTGGGGGGAGGGGGAGGGGCAACTTACTGTGATTCCCTGGGCTACTTAGGCACTTAAAAACTCTAGTGTTTTGGCAGATTATTTAGGAATTAACTGACTGGAGCCCTGTATCTAATTCCTCTATAAAAGAAAGAAAATTAAATATTAGATCCACTCAGCTCCAATAACATGTTCTGACATCTTGTGGCAAGTCACTTGTGGCAAGTCACTGGTTAGGTTTAAAATTTTAATGTATATTCTTACTTTATTACTACCTGTGGGGGGAGGAGAGAGAGAGAGAGAGAGACTGACCCCGTGAGGCCTCCTTTGTTCTATCCCAGCTCTGGGAGGAGAGCGGGGTCTAGTGGGTTACAGTGGGGAGCAGATACAGCTGAGTTCTAAATAAGAACATCAGGATGGCCAGACTGGCTCAGACCAATGGTCCATCCAGCCCACTATCCTGTCTTCTGACAGTGGCCAATGCCAGGTGTCCCAGGGGAATGAACAGAACAGGTAATCATCAAGTTGCCTGGTAGAATCATAGAATATCAGGGTTAGAAGAGACCTCAGGAGGTCATCTAGTCCCACACCCTGCTCAAAGCAGGACCAATCCCCAGACAGATTTTTGCCCCAGATCCCTAAATGACCCCCTCAAGGATTGAACTCATAAGCCTGGGTTTAGCAGGCCAATGCTCAAACCACTGAGCTACCCCTCCCCCAGCTTCTGCTAAACAGGCCAGGGACATGCAGAACATGGTGTTGGATCCCTGCCCACCCCGGCTAATAGCCATTGCTGGACCTATCCTCCATGAATGTATCTAGTTCTTATTGGAACCCTGTTATAATTTTGGCCTTCACAGCATCCCCAGGCAAAGAGTTCCACAGGTTGACCATGAAGAAATCCTTTTTTTTGTTTGTTTTAAATCTGCTGCCTGTTAATTTCATTTGGTGACTCCTAGTTCTTGTGTTATGTGAAGGAGTAAATAACATTTCCTTATTCAATTTTTCCACGCCATTCATGATTTTATAGACCTCTAGCGTATCCCCCCGTAATCATCTCTTTTCCAAGCTGAAAAGACCCAGTCTTTTTAATCTCTCCTCATACAGAAAGTGTTCTATACAACTAATCATTTCTGTTGCCCTTCTCTGAACCATTTCCAAATCCAATACATCTTTTTTGAGATGGGGTTACCAAATCTGCACGCACTATTCAAGATGTGGGTGTACCATGGATTTATGCAGAGGCAACATGATCTTTTTATCTATCCCTTTCCTAATGATTCCTAACATTCTGTTCACTTTTTTAATTGCTGCTGC